ACCCCAAACCCTAAACACTAAACCCCGAACCCTAAACCCCGAACCCTCAACCCTAAACCCCAAACCTTAAACCCGAAGCCCCTAGCCGGGGAGCCTGAAGCCTCCACCCTACCGACTGCGAAACCGAGAAACTTTGCCTGACTGTGTCCGAACTGCCAGAGTGCAAGCTCTTTAAACACAACCGGGGGTTTAGGGTTTAGGGTTTAAGACAGAACTCTGTGTCTGTGCCCTAAAGCAACCTAAGCCTGATCAAGCGTACCACATCTCACCACGCCCTGCAGCCGAGTCTTATCCCAACCGCTGAAGCGAGCCAAGCGCCCATCATCGAGCCTCTGTGTTAAACCCTAAACCCTGAACCCGTTTGAGGCGTTCCCTTTTGGACAACAATCACAGACTCTCCGATACGAGAGTGGTGGATGCTGGGCTCTTGTTGAGGAGCTTCCTTTGAGTTTCCACACGGGGGGATATATGCTTAGTATATGCTGGGTTTAGGGTTTAGGGTTTAGGGGCTGTGCTTCGCCTGCTTTGGTAGATTATAGCCTTCTAGACTCTAGTCCGTAAATCTATCCGCATGTCCCGGAGAAGCACCCAGGATGTCCCAGATGACGGTCTCTTCACTAGCGGAAAGCACCCTTGGCAACTTCAAGACCTACCTGGCAGCCTCTTGCCTCATCTAGGGTTTAGGGGTTTAGGGGTTTAAGGGTTTAGGAATATAGGATCCGTTCTTTCAGCAGGGTTTCACGCTTGTGTGGCATGTGAAAATCAAAAGTTTGAAAAGGTTGAGCATGTGCGGGTCGGAGTTTACGGTTAGTTGTTGGTGTCGAGGGGTGATTTTGACCTTGGGGTTTTGGGGTTGCCGGAATTCGTTGGAGGGTTCTGGTGGCCTTGAGCCGTTCGGGAATTCTGCTTGAACTGCCGAAAATCAAGTGCAAACGGTATACTTTATACTTACGCTGGCCCAAGCCTCAGCAACAGCAATCCTCACGCAAGCCAGACACTGCCAGACACCCTGACTTCCGTTCTTCGCTTTAGTCGGGTCGTCACAAACATCACACTCAAAAATGGGGCCGTCTTCGTCATTTCCATCGTAGATAGACACCCCAAAGCCCGGACCTTTGCACGACGTTTCGCCTCAGAAGCCTGGCCTGGAGAGAACTGAAATCATGAGGTCTCGCCGGAGCATGTCTATTTCTACTCCTGGTAGTCTTTGCCCTAAACCCTAAACCCTCCTAAGCCCTAAAATTCTGGGCACCTCACGTCCAAACCTCCTGAGATCCTCAAAACCGCCGACCCTTGAATCCGTGAGGTCTTTACTGGTGCCCTTCTATCTGTACTCCTGGTACTGGGCACCCGGTACCTCAAGGGCTTGCCCATGAACGCTTCGGTTGCCAAGATCGAGCACTTCGGGCTTAAAGGTTTTAGAGAGTGTGGTTTTATCCCTAAACCCTAAACCCTATAAACGCCATTCCTGGCCGCAGAGTGACAGCTACGGGGTTTAGGGTCAGAAGGGTTGGCGTTTTTGGCTTTCGAGTTCTGGAGTTCGACGTCGATTTCAGGGCTTAAGGTTTAGGGTTTAAGAGGTTGGGTTTAGTGGTAAGCTCAAGATTAGCTGGCTGCACGGTGCCCGCACTTACCCTGCATTAGCTTCAGCTTCAAGTATGCGCCACGCCTTTTTTGGAAGCCGGAGTTGCTCATGTTCAAATGTCCATCCCTTCCGCTCCCCATGAATCCCGTTCTGTGGAAGGAAGCACACATGGTTTGGTTTTGGGATGTTGTGGGGTTTAGGTTGGCAGGGCTATGCAGCACGACGACTACCTCCCACTGCCATGTAAGATCAAGATGATGATATCCAGGGTCCAAAGCTCACCGAGAGACTCGGGGGCTTAAGACTCACTTGAGATTAGAAGGAGGGTCCGAGGGCTCATAGACCCCAAATGTAATCTAGGAGCCTTCATAATTAGAACAGGGTTTTGGGGGGTTCCTTACTAGAACTATAGTAGAATGGACCCCCCAAACCCTATTCTAATTATTTTGGCCCCCAAATGTACCCCAACTTGATCCTCCGGGTGCCCAGGAACTACCTTCCAGTTGAGCTCAACCGGAAGCGGGGGTTCTCCCGGGGGGCCCAGCTTCTCATCGGCAAAGCTCGCCTGCCATGGGCTCTGGGAGCAGCTTTGTACACCTTCCGCAGCGTCGAGGCGGGCTTAGACTTCATGAGCCCTGATCAAGTATACTATCTGCAGGGTTGTAGATTTATAGAGTTTAGCCCCCTTTGAGCTTGCTCGGATTTTTTTTTGCCAGGTGGTTACGAATCTGGTTGCCATCCTTGGTTCTGGAATGATGATCGTCTGGTGGCCCTGCTGGCTGCCCTGGCGTCATGGGTTTTCACCATGTCTTTGACTCACTGGTATTGGGACATGTCAATTGAAACTCTTCGTCGGTCGCAGGAATGTTCGTGCCTGTTGGATCGTTGTGGCAGTCTTCTTTGTAGTTATGGCGATGAATTCCTGGTGGCCCCCACCGGCCGGGTGCTTATGTAAGCAGCATCGTAGCCACGACGGCCCAACCACCCAGTTTGCATAGAAGTATTGGTATTGCTGCTGACAGGTTCGAAGCCATGGATGTCCTCAATCCTTCACGACTGAAAAACTTGGCCCCATGCTATAGAAGCCTGGTTCATTACAAGTACCGCGCAATTCTTTGGGGTCCCCAATATATTGACAGCAGAATCATACGCCAGAACCCTAGTGAGTCCTTCGGGCCCCTGTATCGGCCCTCGAGACTCTAGCACCCAGGATGCCAACTGCTCCGAAACCCTTGTACATTGAAGCTGCATCCTCAAAAGCATCTAATTAAGCCATCAAGAGCCTACAAGCAAAAAACATTGACTAAGCCTGTCGAAATCCAGCCCTTGCTGCTGTACAAAGCCCACACAAACCCCAGATGGGTTAAGAACAACCATTCTGACCATATGGGTAGTTCTCAAAATTTGGGTCTCTTTTTAGGTCCCCAATATAGCACGGAACCCTTATAAAAAAGGACCCCCAAACAGAGCCTAATTTAGAGAACTACCCATATCCAAGGCTGCCTTTTGTGATTGGCGGCTTTCTGGCCCCAACTTTGCACAAGAACTACGCAGTGAATCTGTCAAAGCCACCCGAAGAAGTCTCGCAAGAAGCGTTCTAGGCTTTGTGTTTTGTGTCTCATGCAGGATATTGGTTCAGAACGTTGAACAGCTCTGGTCAAACAGCTCCTACGTGTTTGTTGTTAGAGAAAGCCGAGTCTCTAGCACCTTCGGGGTTTCTAAGCCGACGTGCAAATCTAAAGTCCATGGTCTGTCTTATCAGGTCAAGGGTTTAGGGGATCCACTTGCTGGAGGCACTTCAGAGAGACCTCGTTCAAAGAAGGGTTTAGGGGATCGGAGGACTTAGTTATTGAAAAAAATCATTTAACCTCGCCTCACCCATCCTCGCCTCGCCTGGTAAGCCGAGGCCAGTATTGATCACCGCCGTAAAGGATCCGCTGTCGGCTCTCTTGGCGTTGCTCCGCACATTTCTCTTTGGTTCCGTGGCCATGGCGGTGTGGAGAGAGCCTTGTCGAGATTGGTTGCTGCCCAGAGAGCCCAATACCCCTTAATTATAAGGAATATACCTTAAGTTATAGGGTTCCTTAAAGGGGTCTATAAGGGTCTCATAAGGGTTTCTTAAAGGGAATTAAGGAATATATACCTTAGATGATAAGGGCCTGAATATTATGACTTACGGTATGTTCCTTAATTAAGGGTTTATTTGGGTTCTTTGGGTGTTGGTTTTGGGCGAAGGCTTTGATCTCAGCAGCAGGATCTGCCAGCCCTGGACTGAACTAAACCAAGCAGCCAGTGCGAAAAATAGGGCCTTACTCCTACCTTCAAGCTTGAGCCCTAAAGGGGCATAGAACCGTCCGGGGTTGCATCCCTGCCTTATCTGGAGTTTTTCTGGTTCTGTTGCGACAAGGTTTAGAGTGCATTAAGGACTGTAACGGTTGTGCCAGGACCTGGCCTTGCTGGTCGAGAGTGCCCAAGCCCTCAACCCTACAGTGACTTGACAATGACTCTAACTACGGTTGATGAGACAAATTCTGCATAACCCATAATAAGGAATAGGCCATGATTTCCATAGTTTAGGGTCCTCAAGGTAATGCAGGATTTATATCATCGGCAGTATGACTCTATTCCTCGACCTTACGCCAACGGCTGCAGAGGATTATCGCAGCCGACATCCAGATTTGGGTTCTTCTCTGCAGATCGCGGCCCCTTCCACATTCTGGACCGGCGCCTCTGCCAGGAGTTCAGGTCTCTTTTACATCCCGAGCTGGGGTTTTCAGGCATTAGGGAGCTGCTTTCCGTGTTTGCGCCCCGAGATTAAGAATTCCCAGATTTTATTTTTTAAGAACCGTAATTGGGGTTTGAGGGTTGTTTTGCTTGAAGCTCCTGGGATTTGTTCAGGGTTTCGTGATTTAGGGTTGTGGCATTAATCCTGGTTCCTAGGCCCTGATCTCACCCGAAGCCAAACCTTATTTTCTAAAGCAGCCCTTGGACCTTGTGGCCCTAAACTCTCGAAGCCCGAGACACCCTAAACCCCTATAAACCCTAAACCTTTAAACCCTCAACCCTACACCCTAAACCCCTGAGCCCAGAACCACCTCGCTTGTGGGCATAGGTCCTTAGCCGTGCGAGAGGGGAACAAAACCCTAAACCCTCAACCCCTCAACCCTAAACCCTGTAGACCTGCAAGCCACCAACCCAGAACCGACCCAAGGCCCTGCGAGCTCCAAGCCCGACCAGTCCGACAGCGGGGATATTAGGGTTTCGGGTTTAGGGTTTAGGGGTTTAGGGTTTGGGGCTTAGGGTTTAGGGGTTTAGGGTTTAGGGCTTCAGGGTCTAGGGTTTATAAGGGTTTAGGCAGACGGGAACTGTAACCATAATATTATTCACAAGCAATGCACGTGTTTCTTCCATTCAGCCGCTAATCCAATCTTCCAGAACCCCAAACCCTAGAATGAAGACTACGCCCTTTGAACTTTAAAACACCAAACCCTAGATTCCAAAGCCCTGACTTCAAAAACTTTAATTCCAGAACCCTAAACCCTAAACACACGACCTTGTTACTGTACCCCCGAACCCTCAATTTCAAAGCCCCTTCCCCTTGAATCAAAGCCCTGAACCCTAAACCCTAAACCCTACCCCCTGAACCCTGAAACCTAAACCCCTAAACCCTAAACCCCTAAACCCTAAACCCTAAACCCTGAACCCCTGAACCCCTACACCCTCGACTCCAGGTTGGATCAACCTCGAGCAGGCGCAAGCCCAGGTGAAGATGCACTCGGATTGGACGGAAGAGCCGACGCAACTGCAGGACTGCTTCTTAGGGGCTGAGTTGGTCACCTTTAACCTTGTTGGGGCTGATATAATCCTACTATAATCAAAAGGTCAACCTTTTTTGGGCTAGGGTACTCGGCCCCTAGGTCCTTACGGGGTATGGTGGTAGGGTGAAGGATTTCAAAGGTTTCCTGATGCAAAAAAGGGTTTCGGGGCTTGGGTTTAGGGTTGGTTTGGTAGAGTAGGGTATAAGATGTAGAATTCGGATTCTGGGCGTGTGGGTTTTGATCTCAGGGATTGCATAGGCTTTTGGAGTTAAGAGGGCTTGCGTGGGCGCATGAGTCCAGGGACTTCCTCCCAAATAACCTACCCTTTCAAGGACTTCTACAAAGAAATGAGAATAAGGAGCCCGAACAAGGGTGGGTTCTGTAGGGGTCCAGGTTGGGGATTAGACTCCAGACTTGTTTCTTCAGGTTTTTCGGCGTTCCGAAACCGCCTCTCTGATGCCCACCTTAAGGACGAAATGACCCTTAAAGGTAGGGGCCCTTTACCCTTATACGATGAATCCCTATATGGCAGATGAACCCTAAACCCTTTTAGGGTTCGTTTCGTCCCCAAGGCAATTCCTATAGACCCTCAGGAATGGAAACCCCCGAAGACTCTGGGGCCCGACGCCCCCTTATACTATACATAAACAAATAGATACAAGTACAAACATCCCAAAATCTGCAAACTACATGTATATGTAGACAGATACTTATTACACGTTATATATATATACATACATACATACATACATACATACATACATACATATATATAGTATAATATTGATTGAGTTGCTGCCGCCTTGCATGGCAGTTGAACCATCCACTCTTGGAGGGTTCATCGTGGGTTGCAGGTAGAATCGTTTTCTCGCAGTGCATCTTCAGCGAAGCCAAACCATGCCTGAGAGCTGGGTTTAGGGTTTAGGGTTTAGGGCCCTTTGTTGAGAGGTTGAAAGCGGGGGTTCGCCTCTCCAAAGCTTTCACACCTCTAGGGCTCACCTCCAAGTCACTGAAACCGTAAAGCCCCTTGAGGGTGGGAGCTTCCGCCCTAGACTCCGAAGGGCCTCAGACCCATATTCGAAGAGGCCCCATGGCAGTTGCTTCTGTGTTCAAAACCCTTAAACTGAATCATCCATCCTAAACCTGAAGACCCGGAACCCTTAATCGCGAACGACCTTAAGCCTTAAACCCCACCCTAAATCCTAAGCCTAGATATGCCTTGAGGCGATTGGGCATCTCAAAGCAAAGCATAGTAGCCCCTAAGCCCTTATAGCAACCCTGATAGTAAGCCTTCTAGCTTACCCTTGTTACAAGCAAGAGCTCAGAGGCCCTAAACCCTAAACCCTAATCTAGAACCTCGCCTGGCTTGTCCGAGTTGTGAGAGCGTGAACCCTTCTAGCTTAACTACCCTTGTTACAAGCAAGAGCTGAAAGGCGAACTTGGGTCGCATCTTTGAGTTCTTCATCTCTTCGGTGCTTCTTCTCGTGGCCCTCTATGCCACCTCTCTGGCAAGTTACCTGCGGCTGATCCGCACTCAAAAGGGCCTCCAGAGGGCTCGGGGGTTGATCGAGGTTTAGGGTTTATATAGGGCTTATAGGCCTTATGGGGTTTATAGGGTTTAGGGTTGGCTGCAAGGTGCGATTTGGGTTTTCAGGTGTTTGGCAACCTGGTTTTTTAAAGGGCTTTTGGGCTTTCTGGGTTGAGTTTAGGGTTGGGGGGTTGAGGCGCCCGAAGGTTTTCCTAGTGGGGCCAACTGAAAAGACGCAATTTGAGCGATCCTTCATCCCACCCACCCAAAGGCCCCTAAGTAGTTCCTTTTTATGGTTTATATTTAGAATCCTTTGAGGTAATCCCAAAAAGGAACTCATTAGGGGCCTATGGGTACCGCCCTTCCACCTCTTGAGTCTCTTGATGCACCCGTCTATCCTGAACCCCAAGCCCAGGCCCAGCCTACCGAGGCGAGGTAGGGATCCGGGATTAAAGCGGGTGTCGGGGTTTTTTTTCGGGTGCAGAAGAAGGCAAGTTCGGGCGTGGCGCTTAAGGCTCTTCGTGCCATAGGGTGTACAAAGCCCTAAACTCTTAAACCCTAAACCCTCAACTCAAAATTTACAAAGCCCTGAACTCTTAAATCCTAATTAACCCTCAACTCAAATCTCTACACCCTAAACCCTTTACGGTTCGTGGCCAGCAGACGAGGCTTTGGTTCATAGTGCGTCGATTCGTCCGCAAGCAGCCGGGAGCACATCAGGCGGGAAAAGGGTTAAGGGTTTCGGGTTTAGGATTTAGGGTTTATAGGGCCTAAACCTAAATCCTAAACCCTAAACCAAAACCCAAAACCTTCCGTAAACCCTGTTAGGGTTTAGGGTTTAGGAACTTGGGTTCCAGATCCGGCGTCTAATCTTCGGGGCTGGGCATAGTAAGCCTTCATTAGTGTGAGAATGCGACAGTAGCTTTCCCTTCATGTGGGACTGCTAAACCCTAAACCCTAAACTATCCTAAACCCCTTAATGTCTTGAGATCGTAGGGCCCTAAAACCCTAAACCCTTAACTTGAGATTGTAGGGGTGCTGGTTATAGAAGAGTTGATGAGAGCTTCTGCCTAGAGGCAGGCCAGCTGGTGGAGGCGGACAGCAGCTTCCAGGATCCTCGTGGGGGCGTTTTGCATAGCCTGTTTGGGGCTTCCCTAAACCCCTAAACCCTGAACCCTAAACCCTAAACCCCTAAACCCTAAACCCTGAACCGTAAATCCTAAACCCCTATAAATAAACCCCATATACACCCCTATAAACCCTGAACCCAAAAATAAACCCTGAACCCTAAACCCTAAACCGCGTGGCCTGTTTGGGGCTTCATAAAGGTTTTCTAAAACTGTGTGTTGGATGTTTCGGGGCGGTTTGGGGGGCTTGGAGTCTGTTTTGGGGTTTGGGGTTTCCTTTCTGTTCCCCACGTAAGCGCCCCGGGAAACCCACTCTAATGGTCAACACCACCCACAATGGAGCTCCACAGCTCCGAAACTTGAGGTGTTCTTTAGTGCTTTAGTGGTTTCGGGCGCCCGATTTCTTCAATCATCAACCTGAATTGAAGGTTTGGGGTTTAAGGTCATGATATCAGTAGACGAAACTGCATGTTTGACCCATGTGTGCTAGCAAATTGGTAGAGTCGTGTGGTAGTGCGGATTCACTATGCCAGCGAATGCTTCAAAGGCTTTAAGACCAGTTTTGTAATGCGCCTTTGGTGTGTTTCAGGTTGGGCGCTAGGATTCAGCAGTAAAAACACAAACATTGGACATGAAACGCTAAGGCCGCTAAGGCGTGAACTTATGAGCCTACCCTAGAAAACTGTGACCCTAGAAGTCCGAAGCCGTAAAGCCTGAAGCAAACCTCCTGTATCCCCCATTCGAGGAGGACATGCTTGGGCAGATCTTGGCGGCCTTGCCCGAGGCTAGATTCGTCGTTACGATTCCATTCTTTCGGTCCATTGCGCGAGATAGCAATACGCCTGCCGCTGCTGCCACTGCCCCCACCACCATAACCAGCACCTGCACCACCACCACCACGACGACTACTGCTGCTGCTACTCCCACCACTCCTACTACTGCTACTCCTACTGCTGCTGCTGCTGCTGCTCCTCCTCCTACTACTACAACAATAGCTACTACTACTACTGCTGCTGCTACTGTCTGCTACTACTGCGATTGCTACTGCTACTAGGCTACTGCTACTGGTACTGCTGCTGCTACTACTACAACCACTACTACCACTACTACCACTACTACTACTACTACTACTACTACTACTACTACGACGATCATTATTATTATTATTACTACTACTACTACTACTACTACTGCTACTGCTACTGCTACTACTACTAC